TTCTGTAGAAAATGTGCAATGTGCCATAGTGTGTGGCAGAGCAAAGACAAGTAGCAACGTAGGGGTGCCATACTTATTTTTCATCTTATTGGATTTTCAACTATTTTCATTATTAAAATCATAGATGGTATCCCATGTTTCTATAACTCCTTTAAATCTCAAAATATATTTGGTTAAGTTCCGTTTATCTTAATTTAATATTAAAAACTTAGGATCCTAATTATTAAAAAAATTTAAAACTTGAATTTAACCCGTTTGGGCTAATCCCATGAATTACTTGGGAGATTATAGTTAAATGTTGAATTAGTAAGGGTGGCCTTACAAATACCGCACCATATCTCAAAAAGAATTGCTTTTCATTGAAAGACACATATGAGCAATAAAAAATCTCACTTGTATTGCCAATAAAGATTGGTTTGGTTGTCAAGGATTGACCCGTAACCTACGAAGTTTTGGGATCAAAATTCATTATCAATGTGTGTAATAACCCTGACAAAATTTAAAATAAATTAATAGATAGGTTAACTTGCTTAAAGTATTTTTATATTGGTTCTTAGGATAAATATAACAGGTTAGAGACTTGGTCTAGTGGCAGCTGAGCAAGTCTTTATACATTAGGTCCCTAGTTTGAATCTGGAAGAGACCAAAAGAAGAGTTAAATTTTTCTTTTTCTGGCTATGCAAAATTACCAAACTACCCTTAGTTCCATCAGAGTTTTTAAACTCTTTCTTCCTTCTTTCTCGATAAATCTGGAGCAGAGAGAGAGCTGGGAAGCACCGACCTTTTTGCTCTACCTCTCACTAATCACCATCTTCTTCCTCCTCCATCGAAGCTGGCACTGTCGTTTGTGTGGTCGTCGTCGATGCTGTGCTCCACCGTTCCCCTCAGTTGTGATTTTGTTCACGAGTTGCTATTGTTCGTCCTCCTCTGTTGCTGATTCAAGTATGAAAAATCTCTCTTTCTCTTATCTTGTTATTTATATGGGTATAAATGGTCTAGGTGAGCTAAGATCTCTTCTTTTTAGTTTGTTTTTGGATTATTGGTAAGCTTACTCTTTTTCTTCATTCATGGCGGTAGCTCTTCTTCTTCACTGTTCAGAATTGTTTTCCTTCCTCTGTCCGTGCGTGTTGATTCATTTAAGGTTAGAAGCTTCAATCTCTTCCTTCTTTCGTAAATCTATGTGTATGAGTGGCTGAGATGGTATAAAGATAATTATAAATCTTTGGTCTTGCTACTGTGCGAAACATGGAAAAAGGAAGAAATTTAAGGGAGCTTGGAAAAATATATATCATGAAGCCTAATAATGATCTATATATGGTTCAAAATATCCAAGTTAAATTGAATTATTGAGTTAGTTAGTTTAGAATAATGGTTATAATAGATTAAAAGAGAAAGAGCTCAAGTGTGAAACTTGAAATTTGTGCTTATGAGATGGTTGTCACAATGGTTGTAAGAGAAATTAAACTTGATTTTTAGTGTATGAAATTTTGTTGGTTTTTAGGATTATGTATGGAAGCTGAAGTTTGAAAGAAAAGAGTAGCCTTAGCTTGGGAAAATATAACTATAAGTGTTCGAAAGAGTATCAGATAGAAGAAATATGAATATGAAAGGTATGGAATTATGAATGAATTTATACACTTCAAAGAAATGTAATCATGAAATTTTATGTCTTTATAGGACGTGTAGAAGAAGAGAATCCTGATAGAAATTGAAGAAAGGAAAATATATATATATTTTGAAGATTTGTAACTGTAACGGGTAAGTGAATAGTATTCCTTATAATTATTTATTAAAAATCTTTTATTGAAATATTTTATTTTTATGAATTATGTTAGTTTTAGAAATTTTGAAACAATGATGAAGGATAGTTATATTATGATTTGTGCATTTTTTTTTAAGAAATATATATTTCTAATGTTGATGAAGGCACCTTTATTTATTAAATTTTAAAATTTCTTGGTTACATGATTAGTGCAAGTTTGTACATTCGCTATGATGTATCAATTTGGCAAGTTTCATATATTTGAAGCAATTCATGCGAATTTGATCATAAGAATGAAAATTTAATTTCAAAAATAATTATTTCTCTCGCATGTTTGAAACGGGATTTTCAAGAGGACTCTATACAAAACACTGCTGCTAACAACAGTTTCGTTAGCCCGTAGCACGCTGTGGTTAAACACTAGCTAGTTTGTTTCGTGAGTTTTATTCTCACGTTTGGTATTCGTGGGCTTTGTACCTGCGTTTGATTTCGTGGCCTAAGCCACATTTGGTTACTTACCCTCGTGGGTTGTATGTTCATGTTCATTTCGTAGCTTTGGTTGCATTTGGTTATTTACCCTCGTGGACTGGTATGTCCACATTTGTTTTCGTGGCATAAGCCGTGTTTGGTTATTTACCCTTGCGGACTATGTGTCCATATTTGTAACTTGTTCTGTTGAGTTCTCAAGATCTTAAATGTTGATTAATATGTATTTTTGAAATTTACATTTTGGCTAGCAAATTGTATCACTTTGAGTTATATGTGAGCAGATTATTTTCTTTAAGTATGATAACATAAATTTTCAATTTACTCTTATTTTACAAACATGGTTATGACTTACATGCTTATAAATTTTGGTAGAATTACTTTTAATTAGCTGACACTATTATTAGATATTGTTGATTTAAATTTTAAAAATTTTAACATGGGAATTATATTCACTGAAAAATTATTTTGGCCTCAATTTGTTAGCTAACACTGATCCCACTATCGACCTCCAAAGGGCAACTAGCTACAGTGGGTGGACATTTTGATTGGTATTGTTGCTTTTAATATAATATAGAATTTGTATGTCTTTTTTATTTGAAAGAAAGAGTAGATGCTCCACATAGGTTATTGATAAACCTTATTTTTTATTTGTATATTAGTTGCTAGCTGGAAGGAGTTACGCTCCTGATGTATACTATTATCTGTAAAAAAATTTTGTTGTAGAATTTTCGGGAGATCCTAGTTACAGGAGAGGTTTTGCCGAAATTTCTACAAAAACGTCAACACTTTCTTATGATAAAGAGTTTAAAGGAGTTATTTTAATTCTCATGTGATTTGATTAAATTTTGTTCTTTTCTTTTATAAAATGGAATAAATATTCATTTTGAGGCTTATAAGAATGTGTGAGTGGTTCACACCGGTGCCGGTCACCTTCTATTTTTGAGGTGTGATAATGTGAAGGCTTTATTAGTGGATTATATATAAATACTCCTATAAGTGCACTTTAATCTTAGAAGTATGTCCAGATTCTGGTAAGCCCACAAAATCTAACTCAGCTAAACCTTGTGAGGGTTGTATCACATATGTGAACTCTTCTCGGCTGAAAACAAAATCATAGCATTTATTTTTTGAATATAGATAGTGTTACCTTTTATAAATTAAATATGAGTAACATAATATGATATATATATCATAAAATTAATTGATTCTGCTATTTCAATGCTCGTTGATACATGTCACTTTTTTTAAAAAAATTATTATTATTTATTGAATTCTATTCATAAGTTATAGCCTATGTGATGTAGATATAATAATAATTGTCAATGAAATAAGAGAGAAATATAAGTGTTTGGAAGTACTAATATATAAAATATAAAATTACTCTAGATTGACAACATCACTATCAAAATACGTAAACCAGTTGATTGTTTGAGTTTATATGTGGTAAATAATATAAGACAATTTCTCAACTAAATGTAGCATAATGTGATAAGGTTTATTATTGTTATCGATTTCAAACTAAATGTAACATAATGGAACTTGGGATCTAGTTTTTATAATTATGGTCCCAATTATATATCATTTAAAAACAATTTACTTGTGACTTAGGTCAGTTTTTATTGTCTCGGGTCATTAGTTGTACTTTTTTAAACAAACTCATGACTTAAATTAAACCATGATTCTTGAACACTAACATGTAATTACATCAAAGTCATCTAGCACATTAGACCTTTTTTGGATAATAACATGTGATTTTTACAAGGTACTGAAAACCGGACCGGTCATTGAACCGGCTAAACTCAGGGGTCATGGGTTCAAGCGAGGGTCAAATCGAAGTCAGACCGGTCATAATAAAATAATATAATTTAAATAAAAAATATATTAATTCTCAACACGTTCATACATATCCAAGTCTTAATATCTCATATAACATATAACAATAATTCTAACAATAATAAAGTATAACAACATTTCTATATTTTTTTAAAATAAGGTTAACTAAATGATAAAAAAATTTCAATGAGTTAAAATAATAGAAATAAAAATTTATTTTAAAATAAAAGATAATAAATAAAAGTGATATATTTTAAAAATTATTTAATTAAATAATTCAAATTAAAAAATAATATAATATAATATATATTTATACTTTTTGATTTCTTTTTGCTTCTTCCGTCCCCTCATCTGACAAAAGTATGATTTTTTTTACCCTATGACTCCTATTGACCTATCATTAATCATTATCATGTCAAAAATAAATATACATCTTGGTTAATCATTATTAATTTTTTTTTTAAATTTCAACCCGCCCAACCCGCCTGAACCAAGGGGTTGGGCGGGTTAATCCGAGTTAATCCTGAGTCACCCGGTTAACTTAAATTATAATAAAAAGAAAAATCAAACCGGACACAGGCCGGGTCATCGATTCACCGGTCAGACCGGCCGGTCCGGTCCGATTTTAAAAACAATGAATTTTTACCTTTTTCCCACCTCCCCCGTACACTTGGAGTGCTTGGAGGGTCTAAAACCTCACTTGCTATAAAAAATAATTTTAATATTTTTTTAAAAGCTTTTTTTAATTCTAAGGGATGGATTTGGAAGGGGGAATTTGGATTTATTTTATTCTCAATTTATTTTTGCAAAAAAAAAAACAGAAAGGGACTGTCAGTATAAAAATTGTTATTTTGTGGCCCGCGCAGCATTATCACATTTTTTTATACCATAAAAAATAAACAGAAAAAAGAAAAAGTGCGAGAGGAATGTGACGGAAGGCCCGGCGAAGCGATCTTCTTCCTCCCCAAGCTCTCTGCCTCCGGACTGCTTAGTTACTGGTGATACTCTTCGTTTCCGTCGTCTTTTGTTTGATTCCGACGCACATCCTATTTCATTCCGTCGGGAATGCCATTGTACTTCCCAAGACCCGCTCAGTCTTCCGATGCTTTCGATTCTACAAGTTTTGCGGAGCCAATCTCCCGTCATGTAGGAGATTCGCTTTCTTCTGATTTTCGGGGCACATGAGTCAGGATTGTTTGATTTTGAAGCCGGGTTGTTGAGAGGCTTGTGATTTTCTTTCCTCTGGTTCACCATGGAGAGGGAAAAGTACGCGAAGGAATTGGAGGTGGCTGTCAGAGTGGTCCATGTGGCGTGTGCTCTTTGTGAGAGAGTGCAGGAGCGGCTTCTTTCTGCGAGCGATGATCACGTTATTTCCAAGGACGATGATTCTCCTGTGACTGTTGCTGGTATTTGCATTGAAACCCATCTTCCATATCTGTTTTCCCAATTATGCAGTTATGAAGCTGTGAATCATAATCACGTAATTCCTGTTGGGTTTGATTTTTTCGGTTTCTTGGTTTGGCAATATCTGCATTGGTGTCATTGTCGGTAGGAAAACTTATTTGTGGTTTTTGGTTAGCTGGATTCATATGGATTCGGAAAATTCCTTCCTCCCATTTATTTCAATAGCACAGTTTCGATTTGGGAAATGCAGTTTGAAATGAAATATTTTCCTTCAAGTCTTCAGTTGATAATGCAGCTTGAATAGTTTCCCTGAAAGTGCTGGCTAAAAGTGCAAGGTTGTTCCTTTACGAGTTTGGATTATTTGATTCAATCCTTTTTCTGTTGCATTGTTGTGGAACTTCTCCGCCTTGTGCTATCAATGGGGATAGTATTATTGGTGTTAGTTCGTAGTTGCCGGAAATGAAGTACAGTTTGGGACATAATATCACTTAAATATGTCGTGTGTTGAGGTAGACTTACTTGGGGTATTCTTTCCTTAAATTGGATAAAAAATTTAAGGAAAGTTTTAAGTGACATGTAAATAATAAAGGAGACTTTCAAACTGCCTAAAAAATAATATCAAAGTTGAAGAACAGTATGCGGTTTACATAATTTGAATACCACAACATGAATTTTATTGATGTCAAAGCTGATATGCAGTAGCAATTGCAATTAAATGTTGATGGCTCTTGATCTTCTTTTAGGGAAGAATATAAATTAAAATTATGCTAAATCAATGTCTAGAGTTTTTGGTATTGGTGAGGTTCATTGTGGATCATTTTCAAGTTGTAAACTTCCAGACTGCCTTAAATCTATTATCTTGAAGTTTATCTCAAGAAGATCTGGGGTTGAAACTTTTGGATTTTTAGTGAAGGTTGGAACTCAGGAGGTTTATTGCTTACTGCCAATTTGGCTTCGAAGCATAGTGTATATTACATTTTCTATTTCCTCCTCTTTTCTGATTACTGAAAAGGGAATATTATTCTCTATTACTCATGGTATACATCATATTATGCTTGGTTGCATGTTTGTATATGATGCTTTACGTTTTTATTTTCCCTTTTTCCTTGGTTGAAATGGTGCGTTTAAGTTAACTGACTGGATGTTGCCTTAAAAAAGATAAGTTTATTGACTGGTTATTGCTGTTAATGTATTTGCTTGAGAAGACTTGAGTGTTCAAGCAACCATCAGTTGGTTCCTATCAGAAATTTTTGGGAGTAAGAACGTGTCAATCGTTGCTGAAGAAGATACAGAAATTATCTCCAAAGATGCTTCAGCAGGTCTGCTGGCAGCAGTAGTGGGCACTGTCAATGAATCTTTAGCCTCTGCACCCAAGTACGGTCTTCAAAGTCCAGAGACAGCTCTTGGGACTACAGAAGTTCTTGAGGCCATTAGGCGTTGCAACTCAACTGGAGGACCCAGTGGAAGACATTGGGTTCTTGACCCTGTTGATGGCACAATAGGGTTTGTATGTGGGGGTCAGTATGCTGTGGCCTTAGCTCTGATTGAGGACGGAAAAGTTGTTCTCGGAGTTCTTGGGTGTCCTAACTACCCAGTGAAGACAGAATGGCTCAATTATGAATACCAGAATCATCAAACCAACTCAAATTTTGCTTCAACTATTCCAGATGCATGGGGAAAAGGGTGTGTATTGTATGCTAGTAAAGGTAGTGGCAAGGCATGGTTGCAGCCATTAATTGCTGGAGATAAGATTTTAGAATGGCCAAATTGTGCTCGACTTATTCAGGTTTCTTCCGTAGATGATCCAGCATTAGCAACTCTATGTGAACCAGTGGAAAGAGCAAACTCCAACCATTCCTTCACAGCTGGACTTGCTCATAGCGTGGGACTTAGGTATAAATTTTCTGTTTCTTTTCTAATGAATTAACATTTAAAGGTAATTCATCCATCTGAATGGATGAAAATAATCTTTACACACACACTCACACTCACACTCACACTAGTGCCGTCTACATTGGAATGGAAAGTGGAAACATGCTTAAAAGGTTAAATATTTAAGAGCTACTGCTAAGAGGTACAATTTTGATTTCTTTATGTGTTTCATATCAACTAGTAACTATAGGATGTTAGTATAAGAGAAGAGAATAAAAACGAAGCTAGGAATTGTGATTTTTGTTTCTTTAATTGGAATTCTAGGTTCTTCCTGGACAATATCCACATGGGAAATGCTAGCTGAACTCTCATGCCTCACTACTTCCTAATTAGCCTATTTTCATAGATTAAGAAAATATGGAGCTTGAAAGGTCTGTATTGTAACATTGTAAGCAGCCATATCTTCACCTCTAAACAGACTAAACAGGTATTTACTTTTTTCTTACCATGTTAATCATACAACTTTCTTTTGTGAACCCAGGTGGTAATCTTTCTAAAGTGGAATGGGGTGAATGGTCCAAAACGGATAGGCAGCCTAATAAGAGTTGTGAGAAATTGGTGGTGCTGCATTTCTCTTTGGATGCCACTGATTAATCTTTGCTCTACATTTTTCCCTAAAGAAAGTGTTAAAAATTATGACTTAATTTTTAATCTGTCAATGGTAGTATGGCTCAGGTTTAACTCTTGATGTGTTTCCTTGAAAAGATAATATGGAAAGAATCATGGCCCAGGCATCTTAATTTCGTTGAGATTTTAGTATGTTGCTCGTTTCATGAGGGTCTAACTTCCAGGAAGTAGTTACACAATCAGTGGCACTGCAACAAATAGTTGATCATCAACCCTTGTGAAATTGGCATAGATTTGGGATTTGTGAATGAATTCCTAATGGATGTTGGGAATTACGCTTACTAATCGGTAAAGAGTCTTATATTCAAGTCCCCTCTTCAACAAGTCCTTGTGATTAGGTCATCTCTTTCAAAACTCAGTATATAGTTTATGACTGCTACTTTGTCTTTTAAGAACTAGCATTTGGAACAGCAGTTGTAGTTTTACTTTTATAGAGTAGAGGTTCAAAATATGTTATGAGGTTCGCTGGTAAACATGTCATGTGAATTGTTTTCCCCCCTTAGACCTTTAAGTTATGTGTCATTGAAGAATCCCATAGCTAACACTTGTAAAATTCATGTTTTGTCCTGAGACTCTACGTTACCTGCAATTTCCTGTAAGGCACCAAGAAGGGGGGAAATTCAAGAGCGACCATTTAAAGACTCAGAAACATTAATGGCCTGTTTGGTGTAAATAATAGGAAGTAACAAAACGAGGTGTGCAATGTTTACTGTACTCTTACAATCGTTACCTATCCCTTTGTATTGGCAATATTTTTTTATCCGCAAAGTTTTATTCTTTTCCCTCTATCTTTTCATCAATCTCATGGTATTCCGAGTGACAAATGTCCCAAAGGTATTTCTTATCTTTGTTTTATGCGTTTTGATGGCAGGAAACAGCCAATGCGGGTGCACAGCATGGTGAAATATGCAGCAATAGCTCGAGGAGATGCTGAGATATTCATGAAATTTGCAAAGTCAGGTTACAAGGAGAAGATATGGGACCATGCTGCTGGGGTTGTAATAGTAGAAGAGGCTGGTGGTGTGGTGACTGACGCTGGAGGGCGTCTTCTGGACTTCTCAAAGGGAATGTACTTAGAAGGACTTGACCGAGGCATTATTGCATGTTCTGGGGTCACTCTCCATGAGAAGTTCATTGCAGCTGTTTATGCTAGTTGGGACTCCTCAAATTTATGAGTCCTAATTATTTTGTTTGATTATAACAAGGTTCAACTGAGTTCTGTCATAGGGATTCACCAATGACGAGAGCAAGTCTTATGGCATCTACACAGGTATATATAGATTATTCACCAATAAAGTCTTCATGTTATCAGTGGGATCTATACTCACTCTTTTGACATATGAGATACAAGCCATTTCCTTATCAGTGGACTAGGATCAGTCTTCATTAGCTTAATTAGTCCTTTTCCAATGTATCTGAGTCGTAGAACTCTGGTACTGAGGTAATCTGGTTACAGGTACAAAAAGAAGAAGAGGTAATCTGGTTCATATTCTGGATTGTTTATCTTTTGTTGGGTGTAGTTTTACCAATTAATGAGAAGTTAGAAGTAATACATTACCATTGCATTACAATTCCTTAAAAATGAGCGAGAGAAAGTTCAACATATGATTGTTCCATGAGCTTACTTAGCAAGATCTTTGACTCTTGAGGTCTGGTGTATAGAATTTTCTTCACATTTAAATCCACAGATTTGATGGCCGGAAAATAGTTCCCCAGATTTGAGACCAAACATATGTGACAGTGCGAAGTAGCAATACCTGTTGTTGGGCCCCCAAAATTTTGTTTCATATTCTTCTTTTGTTCTCATATAGTTTGGTAGCCTATTGTTTAATCAAGTACCAACTTCTCATTGTGGAAGTCCTTTTATTAATCGATAAAATATGTTTCCTCTTTTATCTGAGAGTTTTGGCTTTGTTAAGAGCTCTTGGAATTTTCACCGCTCATATTTCTCATTTGCGGGGAAGATTTTATAATGTGGTAAAAGACTTGTTATAAAAAAAAAATACTGTTTCCTTGGATAATACAACTTCACTGAGATAAACAAGGAAAAGACAGTCCAACGTGTCTTGTACAGTTTCATTAAGGGGAGAATGAGAGTTCCAAAAGAGTTCCAAAAGGATAAATTAATTTAAACTGAGTTTCAACTTTAAGTACTAAATTTTAAAAATTTGTGAGACTGTCAATTTTGTAATTTGTTGTGATGGATTTGTAATTTATTTTTTAAATTTTAATATAGTTTAAGAATAAATAAATTTATTTTTCTTGTTAAAATTTGAAATATAAATTGTCAATTTATTACAAAGAAATTATAAAATTGAGGATTGAACTTGCAAATTTTTAAAATATAGTATTTAAAACTTAAGTTGAATTAATTAATTTTTTTGAGATTTTTCTGTCATTTTTCCTTTATTAAATTAAGAAACCTAGTAATAAAGAATTAGGGCCCACTTGTTTTCTATTTTTTAAAACTGTTTTTATTTTTGAAAACAAAAAAAATTAAAAAAATTGTTTGGATAAGAATTTTAAATATAGTTGTTTTGAAAACTATTTTTATTTTTTTGCTTTTCAAAAGAAAAAATAGAAACAATTTCAAATTGTTTTCATAATTCATTGTATTTGATTATTGAAAATTACAATTAGTTTGACAATTTCTATAATATATCACTTATTGACTGCTTGTAATTATTATTATCAATTTATTTTTTAATTTAAAATTATTTTTAAATTTATATAATCAAATGAATTTTTAATCTGTTTTGTTTTGAAAAATAATCTTAAAAATATTTAAAAAAAAAACTAAGAAGCCATGTCAAACTTGCCCTATTCCAATAATCATATAATAATTCTTAGGTGTATCTCCAAAAATATCAGGTCATTATCATACAAACAAGCAAAGTAGGCAGAGGGATAGAATGGAATATCAAAATAACTCAATGGCTTTTCTACCAAATAAATAAATAAATAAATAAATAAATAAAATAACTCAGGCTATGGAAGCTGTCAAATTGGGTTTTGTTTTGCCCTCACGTCTTCCCATTGTTTTTCAAAATTTTGTTTGATCTATTCAGAGTGACATAATGTTGCCACAGACTTGTAACCCTTTGTCACTGTCGTGATCATCATAGGATGTAGTCAAAACTCAAACCATATATTCATTTATTTTAAATTTATATAAATTATTATTTTCATCCATCCTTAAACTAAACTATATCCTGTTATCCATCGTAGTACAGTTAAATTAAATATTATATTCCCACGTCATACCTTGACAAAATCAACAATTTAATGTATAGAAGACCCTTAATTATACATTGTTAGGATTTGAGGACAATAAAAATGATGCCGGAAACCAGCGAGAAAATAAAGATGACATATTCCTCCCGGACGTGTCCATAATAATAATAGGCACCAAGTACTTATCGGTTATCATTTTACAATTAAAGAGCACTTAACCCACTTTAATTCAGATTTTGCACCAATTGAAAAATTAAGCCAACCCAAGTTATTCCTTTTTCCAGGATAAGTACTTTAACTCTTAATTTTGTTGATACATTGATGAGATGACAACCAATAGACATGACTATCATTACAAGTTTGCAATTGGAATTTCTATTTATAATTGTTTGAATCAATATTTATAATTAATTTTAAAAAAAATCATGTCTTGAATTTAACTATTATAAATTTCAAATTTTTGGACTTTATTCTAAAACCTTTATTCTATACACACTCTCATTACAAGGCCTTGTTGCTCATAAACCAGGTATGGTCAATCCCAAACCACTAGCTTGCTCCAAGGCTTTTTTTTTTTAAATAAAGAAATAAATTTCAGTTTTGTTTAATAAAAATGAAGAGAGATCTTAGCAATGTATTTAAAAAAAAAAAGAAAATTGTGTGAGATGCTTATCAAAGAATATCTATATAACGTATTTGAAAATAGTTCTCGGAATTTTCCAGGATCTGATTCAATGGAGAGCCCACGTTCATCAGTAAAGTTTCTGTGCTGAACAAGAAAGTCTATATTCTCTACATTTAATATTATTTTTTAAGTGGAAAATCTAGCGAGCATGATCAGAAGTTCAGAACTCCATGTCCATGGCACGTTTCTTTGGTCACTGGATGAAGTTACACAGACACATATGGCTTAGGGTTCCGACAAAGGCATTCATCAATAAGTTGGTGTAATTCAGAAGCTGAGTTTTGTGTGGCAGAATTATTAAATTTAGTTGAAAGAAATAATAATAATAATAATAATAATTTTTTGAAAAAAGAAAAAGAAAGAAAGAGAGAGTGTTTATTGTGGGTGAAGGAGATTCCCTGAACATGCACTTGCCAGTGTCCCTTGCAGCACGTAGCACACACATGCCGTTACTTCACACTTTCGTAACAAAACATGCAAATCATATACATACTTTTGGTTTGCTTCCCAATTATTTTCCATCACTGCAACCAACCTTTTTACATTTTTAATGTTATGGTCCCCCACCAAAAAAAAAAATCACTTCTTCAATCACATATGTTGCACTATTTGTTGGTATATAGGCTGCTTAAAAACCAACAACAATAATTATAAGCCTTATCTTATTAGGTGAGGTTAATTATAATATTTAATTTTTAAATATAAAGAGAGATGAATTGTGTTTCATTATCTCTCAAAAAGTAAATATTTTACTCTCACCTGTCCAAAATATAAGATATTTTTTAAATATAATTTGAATACCAATAAAATTTAGTTATATCCTTATTTTCAATTAAAAATATCATAAGTTTTCTTTTTTACCCTTTCTCCCACTTGCCAATAATAAATTAAATGAGAGATAATATTTTTTTTAATGAAGTATTATAACATGAAAAAGCATGATTTTTCTTATAGACCAATAAAGTTTTAGTTATCATGAAGAGTGAAAAAAATGTAATAAATACCTTCTTCATTAAAAAATATAAGGCATTTTTTGAGGAGTTGGATGTTAAAAAATATAAAGCATTTTTAATTTTTTGAGATGTAATCATTGCCTTTTTTTAAACGTGCCACTATTAATGAATGACTTTATATTTATCATAGAGTATTTAATAGGAATAAATATAAAAAGATAGAGTCAGTTTGAAGGTAAGTAACTACTTTATTGGGGGTGAGATTCGATTAAAAATATCTTATATTTTTAAACAAAGGGAGTACTGCACAGCAAATTAAGTTAATAAATATAAGGGTAAAATAAAAAAAATTAAAACCTATCAAGTGTTTTATATTTTGAACAAAGATAAGTTAGAAAAAATGTTTTATAACTTGGATTGGAAGGAGTATGCTGGTTCCTTTGTGCAGTTTTAATTTTGTTCACGTTCATCACAATGTTATTGGGCCTGTTTGGATACCCATTGAGAATCAATTCTGGAATTAAAATTATGGTTTTGTAAAAGTTTATCCAAACACCCTCATTTTACAAAACTTCATTTGGTTTGGAAACTCCATTTTAAAAAAGCTGAAATTTCTTCCATTTGCAAAACGTCATTTGACTCCTTTTCTTTATATCATTTATTGCATATTCAAAATTAATTCTCAAGAAATCATCCAAACATATTCAATTTATCAAAATTAATTTTTAAAAATTTATCCAAATATTATTACGTTCTAATAATCAATTTTTTCTATAATCAATTTTTTCTAATTAAAATCTAAACACATCCATTAATTGATTGCTTGCACGGTGAGGGTATAATAGGAAATAATAGGAATGGTGTAAATTTAAAAAATTTGAACAAGAATGAATTAAATTTACTCTTCGGATAAACATAATAAAAGTTAATACCACATACCATAAATATAAAAATTACTACACTTTTTACAAATTTCATGAGTTATAATTTTTAATTTCATAAATTAAATTACTTTGTTTTCAGTAAATATAATTACACATTTTAATCATTATAATTTTACCCCCTTTTTTTATTTTCTCATTCTATTTTCTTCCTTTCCCGTGACCAAATTAAACGACCCCTTTATAGCACTGCAATCAAAAATGAAATTTTCTTGGCACCCGTAAAGCCGATAAGCTTATAAGCCGAATAGTTAGGTTCTCTGCTCATTTTCTTCTCTTTTTTTTTTAAAAAATATTTTTCCACATACTATTCATTTTCTAATAGTTTTTAGAAAACTTCATTAACAAACTTGATGATGATGATTCTCAATGGTTTAAAACTTTCTTGGGTCAGCGTCTAAAAAAAAAAAATCATGCTCTTGCAGGGATCCAATGAAAGCTCTGAATCTCATCACCAATGAATTTTTAAGAAATTACATTTTGAGAAATGCTGTCAATGTCACCAGTAAAAACTTGTTATTCATGATTGTCAATTACTTACCATTATGTATTCAAAAATTTGTGACGAAAATTTAGAAAAACGAAAAAATCGATTTTAAATAATATTTTGCAACACCCTCGTAGGAAGATATTCACAACAAAATTTTTAATGAATTTGTAAAATTTTGCAACACCCTCGTAGGAAGATACACTTTGGCACAAAATTGATTCATTTGAGGACTCGGAATGAAAAAAAATGTGTAGAAATTCAATCATCACGAAAAAGAAGTACACAGACTCTGATGATATCTTCTATACGAATAACAAACAA